TACCCAGTCGGGGGATTGCTGGATCCTATGGGAATTCTACTTTCCGTTTTTTGAGGAACCTTCAAACTTTTTTCCAAAATGACTGTACTAATTTACAACACCACAAATACTGTGTTTCCTTTTCTCCACATCCTTGCCAATACTTGTTATCATTCATGTTTTTGATGATAGCCACTGTAAAAGGCATGAGATGATATTTCACTGTGGTTTTAATTTGTACTTCTCTAAGGTTTAGAGATGTTGAGGAATTTTTCATATATATGTGACCCAGTTGTATGTCATCTTTTGAGAAATATCTGTTAAGTGCTTTGCCCATTTTTAGAACAGAGTGATTTGTATTTTTTTTTTATTGAGTAGTTTGAATTCAATCGTTATTTTGGATATTGGCCCTTATCTGATGTACAATTTTCAAATATTTTCTTCAAATCATGTATTACTCTTCACTCTGTTACTTGGTTTCTTTGCTATGAAGAAGCTGTTTAGTTTGACGCATTCCCACTTGTCTATTTTTGCTTACTTTGCCTATTTTTTTTGAGTTATAGACAAGTAATCTCAGCCTAGAACAATGTCATGAAGATTTCCCCTCAATGTCTTCTTCTAGTAGATTTATCATTTTAGGTTTTACATTGTCTTTAATCAATTTTAAGTTAATTCTTGCATGGCTCAATACTTTCCTCTCTGAGTCTGTAGCTCTGCTTGCCCCTCCCGCTATGTTGTACATAAAGTACCCAAAGTCTTTTATGTTTCCTCAGAAAGAAATCTTTATCACCTTTAACTGCAAAGTTATGATTTCTGTACACCAAACCTGGAGTTTCCTCCTGCAAGTGATTGAATTACAATATAAATTGAGTGTCCAATCATGTAGGGGTATCTTTCTTCCGGGGCATGCTAGGACAGCCACAAAATCTGAAAAAAGTGAGGAATCGATTCTCTAGAGCTCCATGAGAGAGTGTGGTTCTCCCATATTTCTGACTTAGTGACTTCAGAACTTCAAGGGAATTTCTATTGTCATAACCCAACTTGTTTGTGGCAATTTGTTATGTCATCCCTACGAAACTAATATAGTAGGATTAACAGAAAATAATGAGCCAATACAATATTAAGCAACATTAAGCAGCTTCATTTATCAGCACCCACAGGACAATTCTAAGCCATTCCAGTAAAACAAAACACATTGCAAGGGGGATGATTCCAGGAATGCTCAGATAGTTCAGGGATAGACAAATAATTATGCTAGACTGAACCATATGAAATTATCTTTTGTATATGTTATCATACATTTTTGATATCAACAATTTCATATGAGTAAAAGCTAACTTGTAGACAGTTTAAAGGACAGGAGTTGTGAATACATACCCAAGTTATACTTGCTGGTAGTTTCTCTCTTCCCTACCAAGTGAGTTTGATACCAGCCACCATCATCACTATAGTGAATGTTGGAATATCAGTGAATCCTAATGAGCATTGTCAAATAAAATACAGGACATCTACTTAAATTCTAATTTTAAATAAATAACCAATAAATTTTTCTACAACTATGTTTCTTGTGATAATTGACAATTAATATACTAAAAACCCTACAGTTTATCCTAAATTTAAATTTAATTGGGCATCCAGTAGTTTAAATGATTGAATTTAGCAACACTGAAAATAGCACTCATTAAGTATGAGCATCACTGATATGCTTTGTTTTTTGTTTTATTTTGTTTTGGTTTTTTGTCTAGCTCTGTCACCCAGGCTGGAGTGCAGAAGCTTGATCTCCGCTCACCTCAGCCTCTGACTCCTGGGTTCAAGTGATTCTCCTGCCTCAGCCTCCTGAGTAGCTGGTACTACAAGTGTGCACCACCACAGCCGGCTAATTTTTGTATTTTTAGTAGAGATGGGATTTCACCGTGTTAGCCAGGATGGTCTCGATCTCCTGACCTCGTGATCCGCCCACCTCGGCCTCCCAAAGTGCTGGGATTACAGGCATAAGGCATTGTGCCTCTCCTGGGATTTTTTTTTTTTTAACTCGCAAAGCACAGAAGACAATTTTAATAGTTTACGCAACGATTTAAAAGGTGTGGAAGATGAGTACTTAAGTAGTTTTCCCAGAGTTACAGTAATAGAAAAATAATAATTATAATACTAATACTATAAATACCATTTTTGCTGGATAAAACCAAATAATAAAATAATTTATATTGTATCTATAACTCTAAAATATCCAGGCATAAATACATGAGTATAATTTTCTCCCAGTTTCCCAGTACCAGCAATACAACCTCACCAGCTTTTCTTCACAAATGAGGTTGTTAAAATATTTCCATTTGCATTAATTCAACTGCTTCTAAATTCCTGTCCCAACCTAAAATAATCTACTCATTTCTTCATGACTCCACATGGTTTCCATCCATCCATCTGTCAGTTCTGGCAAACAAGTCCCTCAAAATGATTACCCCCGCCCTGGAGTAGTAAAATGTATATTAGATGATCATCAACATGAAACCACATGTCCGCAGCAACAGCCTGCACCGTGTCAGTCGGTAGGTTAGTATTGAGGCAAACGACACCTAACTTGCCAGGGGATCTGCTAAGAAATGGAATAAGAGATGTGTGTCATCTTGGTTGCAGAGCTTGATAATAATATCAGAAATGACTAGAGGTGGCCCAAATCCCTCCACAAATTTCATTGAAAAGTCCGAAAGATGTAAAAGTCTACAATAATAAATAAGTGGAGGTGATTGTTTTAAAATCCAGTGTTACTGTGAGAAAGCAATGCTAAGCATTCCTAGAAAAGTATGTAACTCTGATTTTTAGTTTGAAAGTCTTAAATACCCATATTCAATGAGAGGAACCTTAGACATCATAAAGCCTACCACGTGCAGCAGGTTAACTGCAAAAATCATAGACATTGATCTAAAACTAACAGTAAACCCGCCAGGTATTCATATTTCCATGAGCAGGACGCACGATTCTGACTGCCCAGGTCCTATAAGCCAAGAGGGACCATTTTTGTCCACCCAGTTGCTGATAGGCAGCAAGTATGTACCATTTATAGGACAAGTTATTTAAATTTTGATGGGGCTTATTGATAAATTTGTCATAGACAAATTCTCACTTATTAATGTAAAGGAGGAAGGAGTCAAGGAAAGAAAAAGTTTGATGTGTGGATCCAATTAAGAGTATGCAGCTCCTCGGCCAGGCACGGTGGCTCACGCCTGTAATTCTAGCACTTTGGGAGGTCGAGGTGGGCGGATCACGAGGTCAGGAGATCGAGACCAGCCTGGCTAACACGGTGAAACCCCGTCTCTACTAAAAATACAAAAAATTAGCCGAGCTTGGTGGCGGGTGCCTGTAGTCCCAGCTACTCCGGAGGCTGAGGCAGGAGAACGACATGAACCCAGGAGGTGGAGCTTGTAGTGAGCCTAGATCTCGCCCCTGCACTCCAGCCTGGGTGACAGTGTGAGACTGTCTCAAACAAACAAACAAACAAACAAACAAACAGAAAAGAAGAGTATGCAGTTCCTCAGACAAGATAGGTATTAGTTATTTTGTCAATTTATTTCTAGTGTGGATACCTTAGGGAAAAAATGGCTTCCATTTGATAGGTTGTAAACTTCAGAAGCAAATACTCCTTGAAAAATATATAACCTGAAAATCATAATGTTTGTGTCATATATCAATGCATGTGTATTGTATGTATGATCAACTTCTGAGAATTTGAATTTTTAAGATATAAAGATACATATATTTTGGAAACTGGTAGAATACTGTAGTGGCTTATCCTCATCAATGTCCCTGTGATCCTAGTTTTCTAGGTTCTTAATATATGGTTTGGAAATGAAATGATATTTTGCCTCTTGTGTAATCTCCAACCCCTGGGAAGGCCAATTTTCCAAGGCAATTCGGAAACATTGGGGAACTTATTATAAGTATTATAGTACTGAGCATTCTGTTTATGGGATCCTCATAAGGATCCTCTTTCTAGTTAGCTTTTGCTTGGTTGCTATGAGCTGAAGGGATGTTTCTTCCTTCAAAATTCACACGTTGAAATCTAATCCCCAGTGTGATATGATGGTATTTGGAGGTGAGATCTTTGGGACATAATTAGGTAATTAGAGTGAAACCTTCATGAATGGGATTTGTGTCTTTGTAAGAAGAGACAAGGGAGAGATGGTTTCTCTGTTGTGTGAGGATACAGCGAGTAAGAGGCTGTCTGCAAACCTGAAAGAGGATGCCTGCCAGATACCAGCTCTAAAAGAAATGTTAATGTTAGACTTCCCAGTCTTCAGAAGTGTGAGAAATACATGTTGCTTAAGCCACCCAGTGTATGGTATTCTGTTATAGCAACCTAAATTGACTATGATATTGACCCTTAATGTAAAGGACAATGCCTGAATTTCTCCACAGGAAATGACCATTCTGTTCCTGCCAGAAAAAGAAACTTTGAGATTGAAGCAGGCTTGTACAAAATCAGTGGCCTAAATAGAAATGAAAATTCTCTATTCTGCTGCTTCTCACAGATCTTTAACAGGAAGACCAGCATCAGCGGACACTTCACCCAGTTTAAAATGGAGCACTGGTCTCTGAATCACCTTCACTCGCCTCACCATGGGAACTTTTAACTTTTAAAACTACATCTGTTCATCTTGGGTTCACACAGCCTTTTATATCCGTCATGCTAAACACTTTCCAAATGTTCAGTTCTTATCTGAAGAAGTACTTCCTCTTGAAAACATTCCCTAGCAGTCCTCACACATTCCTGAATCTGAGTTTGTATTCTTCCTATTTAAAGGTCCATAATACCGAATACATATTATTGCACTAAATACAAAATGCTGAGGTTCCATTTATGCCTTAGATGTTATTATTAAAATAATCTTCATAATCTGTTTTAGAACAAAGCTAGTATGACTTATCTCTATCTCAATTCTTTTATTCTAAAAAGGAAAAAATATAATGTGTATTTGAAAAGTAATGAAAGTCATAATACTGGAAATCTTATTTTTTCCCCACAGCCACTGAACTATGAGAAAAAGAAGTCATATACCCTCAACATAGAAGGAGCAAATACACATCTTGATTTTCGCTTTTCTCACCTGGGTCCTTTTAAAGATGCTACCATGCTGAAGATCATTGTTGGGGATGTAGATGAACCACCACTCTTTTCCATGCCTTCCTACGTCATGGAAGTCTATGAAAATGCCAAGATCGGGACCGTCGTTGGTACAGTTTTGGCACAAGATCCTGACAGTGCTAATAGCTTAGTAAGGTATGGCATGCTTCAATCGTTTAGACATATAAAGATTTTTATTGCCTCTCATAGTAATTAAACATTAATAAAATTACAGTTAAAATGCTTTATTTCTATGTTGTTTTCTGCGAATGTACTTAAATTATAATATTAATTGATTTTTATCTGAGTAGCTTGGCAGATGGATTTTTGTCACATTAAGAACATATTTTGCTATCTCCATGAATGTCTTATTGGCCACACATTAATTTTTCCATTTGACTTAATGGATGTGAGTGTAATTGATTGAGAAAATTGTTGTAGAGCTATTTAATCACAAACTGGAGAATCTGTTGGTCCCTTAATGATAGGAAGTGTAGATATAGCACAAAATGTGATGATCTGGGGATAATACTCATCTCTCACTGACTCCGGTTCCTTTGGTCAGCCTAGCTGTGTGGCTTTCTCTTTATATGTAAAAGTGGAAAAATAATGTCTGTGTCTCAGAGCTGTTGTGAGGACGCATGAAGCAATGTGCATACAGCACCCAGCAAAGCGGCCTGCACCTAGTCATCACTCAATAAGTGCTAACTTGTCAAAGACAGTATAAGATGCAGAAAACTCTGAATACAGGAAAATCAGTGTGGGAACTCTATTGTGACTACTTACTAGCAGAGTAATCCTTTATAGTCATTCAACCACGTGGAATGTCAAGTTCCAAATATGTGAACAAAGAATAATAATGCTATATAAGTATGTTGATACAATTCAATTAGATTAAAATAAAGGACTTAACACATTGCCCAGCATATAATAAGTGATCACTGAATAATATTTGTATTATTTTAGTACATCATGCTGGCGAGATAGAGCTTTTTTTGCATCATCCACAGACATTTTTTTGTGTGCCTCATTTATAACAAAATCAGAAAGGCTGTGTACATGTGTAAAACTTCTTAGATATCCTGTGTTTATACGCATGGAAATCCTGTCTCTAGAAAGGTTAAAATCCTTAATAATCTTTCTATTTTTTTACCATGAAGTCCTTGGTTTTCATTCACTTAACAAAAGCTAATATTCTGAATAGTCTCCTCACTATCTATGGAATATTTGTAAAAGCTCTGAATTTTCTTTTTCATAAGCATTACTGTTTCAGTTAAAAATAATCCCCCTAGCACCCATGCAGGTAATGAAACAATTTTCTGTGCACAAATATGTATATTCAACAATCCTACTCCATCTTCAAGTGCAGAAACTGTATCCTGTCACACTAACAGCAAGAGCTAGATAATGCTTGAAGAGGGAGGGTCGGTAAACTATGCAAAATAATATGCATAAACCAAGTTACAGAAATCAATCTCTAACTAAGGAATAGAAATCTAAGTTAACATGTTTCGTTGCTCAACCAAAGGAAAGCCCATTTTGCTTCAACATTCCATAGAAAGCCATGTTTTTAGTTACACTTTTGACCCCAAACAATAAGTATAATTTGTTCAGGTTTTTTAAAAAAAATGTAGCACCATAAAAGATCTGTACAAATGAGACTTTCTTTACCAAAAGTACCCAATATCTTTTGGGAATAGAGATGCTTCATGATAAAAGTTTTTTTTTTTTTTTTTTTTTTTTTGAGACGGAGTCTCGCTCTGTCGCCCAGGCTGGAGTGCAGTGGCCCGATCTCAGCTCACTGCAAGCTCCGCCTCCCGGGTTTATGCCATTCTCCTGCCTCAGCCTCCCAAGCAGCTGGGACTACAGGCGCCCACCACCTCGCCTGGCTAGTTTTTTGTATTTTTTTTAGTAGAGACGGGGTTTCACCAGGTTAGCCAGGATGGTCTCGATCTCCCAACCTCATGATCCGCCCGTCTCGGCCTCCCAAAGTGCTGGGATTACAGGCTTGAGCCACCGCGCCCGGCCGATAAAAGTTTTCTGTGAAAATATTAAATAAACATTGACAATATATTTTTAATTAAATTTGATACTAATGATAATTTCTGTAATTCTTAATTAAAAGAACAGGAAGTCCAACCATTTATGTTTAATTTATATTTTATTAATACAAAAATGTTGTACGTTTTGGGAGATATATGTGATAATTTGACAAATTCATATAATCAAATCAGGGTAGTTGTGAAATTCATCACCTTATATATGTATTGTTTCTTTACACTGAGAACATTCATATCATTATCTTCTGGCTGTTTTAAAATGTACAATCCAGTGGGTACAAATATATACATTTAGATGGAAGAAATAGAACCTAGTGTTTGATAGATCAGTAGGGTGACTATAGCAATCACTTTTAGACTATGTTTTAATCACTTGTAACGTGCAATATTGCAGTAGCCCTCATGATAAAGAATTATACATGTGCATACACACACAGACACACACACACACAGCATCTTGAACTCCAGGGAAGAAATAGACTTGGAAAAAAATGTGCATTGTATATCATGCATAATTCTCCACGGAAGAAGAATGAAATATCTGGGCCCGTAGCCCAGCCAAATTGACATGTACAATTAACCATCACACTGTGTTTAGGGTAGTAATGGTCTGAGGGAGGTGTGCATGGAGAATGTATTCCAAAACTTTCTGGAGGCAATGAACTGAGGAAAATTGAATTGAGGCTCATAATCCAATTAGAAATTAGAGAAATGAAGAATGAAAGAAAGAATTGTAGTTTGTTGTACATGAGGAGCTTGGGTTACCTGTGGGAATAGGAAGTAATGAGATTGGAGAGATAGATTAGATACAGATCATGAAGAGGCTTTCTGCAATGGTACAGTCTTTGAAATTAATCCTGGCAGCAATGCCAATAGGGAGAGAAATGAGAGGAACTTTGATAATTATAACCAAAACAATGACAGGAAAATTTGCATTTCAAAATAAACAATAACAATATTTAAAATAATGTGAAAGGTAAAATATATGTGGTGAAATGGAGGTCAAAGGGAAGAAATTGAGATTGAGGACAAACATGTTTTAGCATTATTCTATATGTTCCCAACGTATATGAAAACACCTCTTCCCGCATAGGACCGTGATTCCCACATGGGGACAAAATCCACCCCCCTACAAGGGAGAGTAGAAAATGTCTGGAGACATTTCTAGTTATTACAGCTTGGGATAGTGTCTTAGTCACTTTAGGCTGCTATAACAAATTACCTTCTACTGTGTGGTATAAACAAGATACATTTATTTCTCACAGCTCTAGAGGCTGGGAAGTCCAAGATCAAAGGGCCAGCCTATCTGATATCTGGTGAGTGTCTGCTTCCTGGTTTGCAGATAGCCCTCTTCTCCCTACATTTTCACATAGTGAAGAGCAGAAAGAGAGAAAGAAAGCAAACTATTCTGTTTCTTTTTATGAGGGCACACATCACACAATGAATGTCCCACCTGTTTTCTCTCTTAGTCAGTTTGGCTGCTAAGAAGAATTACCATAGTCTTGATGACTTAGAAACAACTGCAATTTATTTCTCACAGTTCTTGAGGCTAGGAGTCTGAGATTAGGTTGCCAGAATTGTCGGGTTGTGGTAAGGGACCTCTTCTGGATTGCAGACTGCCAACGTCTCGTTTTCTCACATCTTGGAAAGAGGTAGCTAGCTCCAAGCTCTTCTTGTTAGGGCACCAGTTCCATTCATGACAGTTCCATTCTCATGACCTCATAATCACCTCCAGAAATTTGTACCTCCACATGCCATTACATTGTGGATTATGGTTTACTATATGAATTTGGAGGAAGGGGATAAAAGCATTCAGCTTATAGCAGGTAGGGTGTTACTGGCATCTAGGGGTGGAAGTCAGGAATGGTGCTACACATTCTGAAACACAGGACAGCTCCCACAGAAATTATCTGGCCCCAAGTCAATAGTGCTAAGGTTGAGAAAACCTGACATAGAGTAAAACAAGCTAAATGGCAAATTAGTAAAACTGGAGTACTAATTGTATTCATGGGAAGAAATTTTGAAAAGCTATTTTTCAGAGATAGATGTCTATACAAATCATATACATGAATAGTTACGTGAATGTTTCAATGTGTACTTTCAATCAATTAAAATATGATGTCATTATTTGTCTCAGTAATTACCCTATATCATTGGGAGCACTTGAGTGAACACTTACTAGGAAACATGCACTCTCCTGGTTGTTGGGATGCAAAGATGATTGGTGCATAGTTTCCAAATGTTAGGAAGGGAAGCATAAATCTATTAGCATATGCATTATTCTTTCTGCTTTGTTTTGGTTAGAGAACTAAAATGAATCCTGCTAAAGCTGCCTTAAAATAATTAGACTCCATAGCTGCTGTTTGGGGGCATAATTTACATAATATTTATTCTTCATTTTAATAAAAATGTGTCATTCATGTGGGCCTCTGGGTACAAATAGTGAATTTAAAAAACAGAAAACATTAATAAAAACAAAAGCAAGCCTTATACTTCTACCTTTCTCAGGGACCAAATGTTTGTACTAATTAAGGAAAAGCACACTGAAAAGATGTACTTTGCAGTGTGCCCTGAAATGCAATTAACTCCAAGTCTGTAGAATTGGTAATGAAAGGGAGTTTGAGCTTTGCAAGCATTTGTGAAAAGCTTCCTGACTTCAGTCTTTTGTATTTTACTATTGTACTTTTGTACTTCGGTCTTTGTATTTTACCATTGTACTTTTATAACTTATTAGTAAGACTCTTCAGATTTCATAGAGAATACTATACCTAGGTTTTGTCTGTTTCAACTCTAAACAAGATGTGTAACTTGCAGCAATACAAAGTATATATAAAATGTAAAATAAATGATTTTTGATCGTAATCACCATGTCAGGCTGTGAAATACTGGCTGTTGTTCCTTCTAACTATATTTTTTACCATCATCCCCAATTATCCACCCCACCACCACTACCCTTCCTAGCCTCTGACAACCATTATTCTACCCTCTCTCTCCTTGGGTTCAATTGTTCTAATTTTTAGCTCCCACATATGAGTGAGAACATGTGAAGTATGCTGTTCTGTGCCTGGCTTATTTCACTTAACATAATGTCCTGCA